ATCTACCTATTTTTATTTTATTTTATTTTATTTATAAATAGGAATTAGGAACCCCAGAAAGGAGAGAGAGAGAGGGGAAAAAAAAAGGCCCAAGAGCCATCCCATCTCAGAGAAATTTAAATAAAAACAGAGAAAATACAAAATATTAAAAACAAAACAAAACCACCACCAGCAGCCAAGCCTTGCTTACTTCATAAGCCTCTACGGCCACAGTTATTCCGAAACAGAGAGACTCACAGACCAACCGCGTCGGCATCTATGTCAACCTAAAAGACGTTTCGACAAAGAATCTCACAATCAAAAGCAAAAAAAACAGAAACGTGTTTTTTCTTTTATTTTCAAAATTTTAAATTCTCAGAAAGCTTAAAGCCAGCGACTGTTTGGTGAAGCAAGGAAACAATGCAAAAGATGGCACAGGAATGGTTTTCGCAGAGCGGTAGCGGCGCTGACGACTCGCAGAATACCTCGTCTTCCTTGTTAGCCGATTGGAACTCCTATGCCGCTTCACAATCTACAGATGAGAGCTCCTCCTTGGGCCTGGGCTTCGATCTCGAATCTGCGGTCCGTTCTGCTAACGATACCGTTTCAGGGACTTTCAGCGTGTATGTTCATATCTGATCTTAGTCTCCTGCCAAATTAACTCAGCATTTTACTTACGGTATACTTATTTATTGGCGAATTTGGTAATGGGTTTTTGATTTTGTGTATTTTTAAGTAAATCTGATCATTGGGTTTTGATATTGTGCATATTTAGTTGAACTTGATTATGGATTTTGATCCCTACCTATATATAAGTGAATTTGATATTAGGATTAGTGATGGTTGTGCATATTTAGGTGAATTTGATAGTGAGTTTTTGAAATTGTGGTATAACCAGGTGAATCTGATATTGGGTTTTTGTATGTGCATATTTAGGTGAATTTGATAGTGAGTTTTTGAAATTGTTGTATAACTAGGTGAATCTGATATTGGGTTTTTGTATGTGTATATATTAAGTTGAATCTGATATGGAGATTTTGGTTTTAAGGGGTTTAGGAACTGGTGGATTTGTAGAATAAGCTGTTTCGTTTGACCCATTTTGTAAAATTTGTGACAGGGATTATGTATGCTACGGATTTTGATGATGGACGTTTTGATTTTTGTGCTTGAATCTGTGATTAGTATTAGATTGAATACATCATAATGCTTATGCTGCTTCATTGGCTATTTAGGGTCTATGCATTTGTTTCTGATTGTATGATTGGACTTTAGTGAATTGAAGAATTGACTTATACAATGAAGGTTCATATTGTGTCTGCTATAAGTTATAGGAGTTGTGGAGGGTCCTGGCCGACGTATATAAACAATGAGAAAATTTGCTGAAAGTGGAGCGAATTCAAGTTAGTTGAATTTATAAACTGAATATGTGTACAGCCGCTTTAAAGGATTAGAAGGAAACCTACGCTTTTATCTCTTAATTGTCATTCTTCCGAAATCAAAACTAAGCAAGACTCAAAACCAACAATTATTTCAATAATTATGTTGTTTGTGGATGATGGGCAGAAAGGTTATCCTGACAATAGGGCTTATAAACAAGAATCAGGAGTTAGGGAAAAAAAAGGGTGGGGTGGTGGACTGTAATTTGCTTAATCACCTGTATTCTGTTGTTCTACCCCTACCTTAGTGTTGTATAATTTCCCTACCCCTATTGAAAGAACAAGTTTGAGATGAAAGTAAATGTTTAGATGAAAGTAAATGTTTATTCATTTTCTGGGTTTTATCTCATAATTGATGGAGTCTTTGTGTGATTTTATTGATACTTGTTTAGGGTTTCCAAAGGAGTGAGAGATCTACCTGGGAACCTCCAATCTGCCACTAGTACTGTCCCTTCAGGAAAAGCTCTCATGTATTTTGGCTTGTTTCTAGCAACTGGGGTGTTCTTTGTTTTTCTCGCATTTACCATGTTCCTTCCTGTCATGGTGTTGATGCCTCAGAAGTTTGCTATCTGCTTTACACTTGGGTGTGCCTTTATTATTGCATCATTCTTTGCACTCAAAGGCCCAAAGAATCAGCTTGCTCACATGTCTTCAAGAGAGGTAACTTTATCATACATGTACCTATTCTGTTTGTGTAACCTGTCCCAAGCATCGCACGTCTAATGATATACTTATTGTTTTCTTTTCCACAATTTATGCAGAGACTTCCGTTTTCACTTGGATTTTTAGGCAGTATGGTGGGCACCATATATGTATCCATGGTGCTTCACAGCTACATTCTCTCTGTGCTCTTCTCTGTGATACAGGTATCAAATTCTTTTCCATCCTTCTGACTATTTGAATTTTTTTCTCCTGGTTGATGATCCCTGCTTTTTAATCTGTTTTGATATCTCTAATTGTTATATTAATCAGGAAATTTAAAAAAATATATATGTTAATAAAGATAGTTAATTATCCTATGTGACACTGAAACGCATGTCCAAATGAAACTATCAGGTTCTGGCACTTGCATACTATGCTGTTTCATACTTTCCCGGTGGATCTGCGGGTTTGAAGTTCCTATCTTCTGCTCTTACGTCTTCAGTCATGAGATGTTTTGGGAGATGACATTGACCTCTTCTATTTTTATGTTTGTTGCCTTGTATATTTCTTACGATTTTTTGTCAGTCTAGTTGAAGTTTGGGATGATCTGAGACACATTTCCGAGTTGAAGCTATCATGTTAAAATTTTAAGAGTTTATTTCTTGTTTCTTTTCACCCTGAAGATGCATGTGGAAAGTTGGAAGTGCACCTTTATTTGCCAAGATTTATTTGGTTGTGATAAACATCGATTTTAGATCAATTGGAGAGAAAACTGGCAAGATTTGTTGTTTTTGAATTGCTATCTATTTTCCCTTTGAAGATGAGGGGACATAAAATGCTGGTGAGTGGTAACAAGA